CATAAATATAAAGTACAATAATAATCCCTAGTAATCAATCAATGATGATGTTGTTCTGTCTGCATGCTCAGAGAGTTAGGCAGGCCATATATGGTTCAAATTTTGGCCAGTTCGGTAGGGACCTGTTAAATTTCAATCCAAGTATGGGCACTCTGGTTTTAAACAAGAAGATCTATCAATTGACTTGTGTACAACCAGCCTGTTAGGCTTTTCCTGAACGATTAGTGCCATCAGCTAAAGATGGCAGGGAAGCTCCCCTCTGGCAGAACACGACAGGGATGCAGGAGGAATCACCCCCCCCCCCCCACCATCAACACTGACTTTGTTGATGGGGGAATCAAGCAATTTTCTTTCCTTCAAACCACGGTGCAAGGAAAGAAAATTACATGATCTATCATTGTAACTGCCTTAGCAGTATGACCTTCAAAAATTGTATTTTACTAGCAAGACATGTCAGTTCACTGGTACTATTCACAAAGCAGGATACAGTTACAGATAACAGCTGTCACATTTAGATACAAAAAAGATTTCAGTTCTGATAAATGTAAGATAATTACTAAAGTACAGCCAACTTGGCTCTAAGAAGGAGCTGCCTCATACAAACTCAAAACTATTAAACCCATTAAAGTGCTGAATTGGCCCTGTTGGCACCACTATGCTCCACAAAAATTGATTGATTTCCAATCAGATGCTGTCACTGCTTGAGTTCAGATGGATGCTGAATACACCAGCCTGCAGGGAGATCCTTTATGGACACGGTTTAGCTCAGCTCACTGCAATCTGGATGGACTGATAAGGCTGCAGGGCACAAGCAGGAACCCGCTGTAAGGCTGGCCATTGACGGCCGTTTATCGGCTGAATTGTCAGCCGATAAACGGAAAATTGGTCGTTGCTGCCACCAATGCTTATGAAAAACATCCGTTTTTTGTAGATTTTCCAGCATGACCGATAAAAAGAAACGAGAGGATCCGCGAAAAACAGCCGACAGCTTTGCCCCACGAACGGTGTGAATATTGGCCAATTTTTCGGTCGGATGAAAATTTGGCCGATAAACGACCCGTCTATGGCCTGCATAGGATGGTAAATCAGCAACGTCTCTCCTCTCACTCACACAAATGTCAGAAACGCATTGCGGTCCCCCCAGCCTATCACGTTCTCCTGCCTGCCTTTCTGTTAGTGCCATGAGAGAAAGGAGAGACGCTGCTGACTTACCATCTTGCAGCAAGTCCCTGCTTGTACCCTGCAGCCCTTATCGGTCCATCCAGGTTGCGGTGAGCTGTATATCGCACCACCACTCTGACACCTGGAGCAGTCTATAGGTCTTTCAGATGTAAGTGAGAAATGGCATTAAAGTGTTGTTTTTAACCATTCACTAATCTGGCGTCCTGCCCTGTATACTCGGGAGGGATTACCCAGAGCCACTGGCTAGGAGCTGCTGGACAGAGTGCATTTCTCTCATCCACCTTTCCAGCCATCCATCCATCCACCCCCTTGTGAACTCTATGGATTATTCACTGTGGACTTGAGCACTGATTGTGCTTGTTTAACCACGTCCCGTCCTGCAGTGCAGGAGCGGGTTGCTGTTCCGCCATCTTAGCCTGTGCGCGCTCCCTGGGAGTGAGCGGCACCATGATCCGGTGCCTGCTGTGCCCTCCGGACACAACAGAACACCAATCGCTGTACGGGACCTTGGTGTGAGGTCCCGATTCATGTGATCACTGATTGGCTAATCAGTGATCCCATGAATAGTAGTAAGCAAGATGTCACTTCTGACACTGCTTACTACGTTGGAAATCTGTGAATGATCACAGAGGTCACATGGTACAAGGCTATTCACAACAACCTTGTACCATGTGACAAGCTGTGACCAATCACAGCTGTCACAGTATTTCTTAATGACTGCAAGAATGCAGCCAGAGAGAAGGAGAAATGATTGCTTTTACAGCCTTTATGGGTGTAAAAGCAAAAAGTGTAAAAAAAAAAAAAAAAAAATCTTCATCATCCCCCACAAGTAGTACAGTGTCACTATGGTGACACTGTACTGCTAGGATGACAGTATGTAAAAAAAAAAAATATATAAAAATAAAAATGTAAAAACATTTTTTGAAAAATTATAATTTTTTGTTATAAACTAATTTGAGTTATTTTTTTTACTAAAAAGATAGCTGAATACATTTTGGCCAAGATTTATGGAGAATGATTATTTATTTGCAAAATTTTATATGTAAAATACTTTTTTTCAAAATGTTTGGACTTTTTCATTTATGTAGCAAAAAAAAAAAAAATCCCAGTGGTGAATAAATACCACCAAAATAAAGTTTTATCTGTCTCAAAAAAATGCTAAAAATTCATATGGGTACAGTGTTGCATGACCGCGCAATTGTCATTCACAGTGTGATATCGCTGAAAGCTGAAAATTGGCCTGGACTGGAAGGGGGTAAAAGTGTCCGGACTGGAAGTGGTTAATCAAAAGTTGAACCGAAAAACACAAATGATCTGTAGATAATGCAGTTAGGGGGGGTTATGTAAAAGGTAGTTGCCATATGACAAACTCCAAATGCAACAGTAACACCAGCCCGCCTGTTAACCTGGAGATGGCAGGCTCCACTTTGTTTACGCATAATTGTGTGACAAAATCACACATGTTGAATAGAAATGATTTCAACAAAGAACTTCAAGAGACCATTGTCACACTTGTAAGAGAAAGAAGATGTTCAGAAATAAAAGGTAATTTCCTGTGTGACTGACTATACTGACTGAACAGCATCCCAAAAACAAAGACAGCCTAAAGTACTATGTATGTGCCCAACCCCCATGAATAAAGTGTTGCTAAACTCACAACAGTAAAATCAGTCTGTATATGCAGTAAAGCATGCTTGTTATACTCACTGTGGAATCTAATGTGTTAATCCTCCGCACTGTGTAAAAGGGCTGTCTGATCCTGTCTTCTTTCATCCTCCCCTTCTTCTACAGCCCCCAATCCATATGATGGTACAGACACTCTTGCACATGCTCAGTTTGGTGTGTGTTGCTGAGCTATTTTGGGGGGGGGGGGGTGCATGTAATCAGCACAGGGCCAATCAGCACTGTCCAGACAGAGGGTCAGGGGTCATGCAGCTTCATAGGACAGTTAGAAGAGAATAAAAAACTCCTACAAGGTTTAATCAGTGCTCAGCCGGACACTAAAAGTAGTAGTACCGAAACTGCTACATACCGCTAAGGAGAAAAGATATTTAGCAGTTTATATTTACTAAAATAATTGCATTTCCATGTTCTGTGTGAGACCAGATATAGTGAATGCAGGGTCCTGGGTTCAGTAACACTTTAAGGTACACTCCCCATTATATTCCTTTAAGCCATGCTGTGGGTGAAACATGTTGGGGGCGTGGCTGATAGGAGTGAGCAGTCTGCTGTCATTGGCTGGAAATGAACATTTTTGGTATGCAGCTCATTATTTGGATGATTAAAGCGGTAGAAAAAAAAAAAAACAAACAAAAAAAAATTCCCCTGCACAGTAATGTTATAATGTGCTAGTGTACATCGTATATTAGCACATTATGTAAACATACCTTAAAACAAAGCTCTGCAGCGGCGTGCTGTCACCGCTGCAGAGGCTTCCATCTTCACCTGGTCTTCCTTCCAGGTTTGCAGGCTCCAGCCATCTGACAGGCCGGGCCGTGATGATGTCATTCCCTTCCTTCAGGAGCACATGTGCTGGCTTAAATAAAGAGAGAATATCCCCTAAATGGTGCATGTTTAGGAGATATTCATTTTATCTACAGGTACGCTTTATTATTAGCTTACCTGTAGGTAAAGTTAAACCAAGAGTTTCCTACCACTTTAATATGATTCTAGTTTTATTATTTTTTGATTACATGCATAAGAAACTTTACCAAGAAACTTTTATCACTATGCTGGGCAATAGTTCCAGGAGTTTCCTTTGGTAAGAGCTTTGCATCCTTCCTTTTCTGCTCTTCTTCTTTATCTCGCTCTTCAAGTCTTTTTCGCACTTCAGCTTCCTCATACCTGATGGAAAAGCAAAGCATGCACACAGAAAGATTACTTTAGCTCAGGGATGTTGAATTTGTATTGTTCGATACCCAGGACATGTAATTCTGGGCGCCAGGCAGGTAGTTTTTTTTTTTTTTTTTTTAACCTTCAGCCCTGCTGCAGACAAGCAGCAGGGCTCACCTGTCAGGTGGAAGCAGTCGGGCAGCAGCGCTGCCGCCAATTGCTTCCACACAGTGCCAGCCTCTCCCTCTCCCCCGTGTGAACCTCCCCCCCCGTGTGAGGTCTCCCAGGCTCCGCTTGCCCATCTGTAGGCCCGGGACTGGCTCACAGCCGTTGGCTAGAGGGGAGGGAGGGAGGAGAGTGGACACATCCGCTCCCCTTCCCTTCTTGTGCTGCCCTGGAAGTGACATTATGTCGTCACTTCTGGGTCCCCATTGAGAGATTCCCGGCCATGGAGGCAGGGAAAGAATGTAATGCAGTGCGATGTGCACTGCATTACATTCATTATAGTACAGGGGAGACATCCAGGGTCTTTTGGACCTTGGATGTCTCAATAAAGAGAACCGGTCACCAAAAATCCTCACATAGGGGATATGTAATGAAAAAAAAAACTACAAAAAAAAAAAAAAAAAAAAGAGGGTTTTTTTTTGTATTGTATAAAATATGTTACACCCAAGCACATAACATCATCCCCCCCCCCCTCTCAAAAAAAAAAATAATTTAGGCCCCACCCACACAAATACACACGTACAAACATAAGAGCACACGCTAGGGCGCCTGCGCATGAAAACATCGATTGAGATACACACGTTACATGCCAGAATAACAGCAATACTTCCAGCACCAGAACTCCTCCATAACGCTGAATTGAGGACCTATAAGGAGCTTTAAAAGTGTCGCCTATTGAAAATATAGGGTACTGAAGTTTGTCACCATTTCACGAGCGTACGCAGATTTAAGGTTTGACATGTTGGATATCTATTTATTCGGTGCAATCTCATCTTTTAGATTTTACAAAATAGCAGGGTAATTCATTGCGTTTGTGTGCTCTAAAATTAATTTACTTGTATTTTTTTACTGAAATTTTCTGGTAATATCATGCCACATAAAAAAAGTGGAACTACCACCATTTTATTCTCTAGGGTCTCCGATTTCAGAAAACATGTTTGAGTTTATGTAATCTTCAGGTCTAAATTGGGACACCGATTTAGTCCCTGGACAAGTAGTTTTCTCAAAATTTTCCACACCCCTGTAGCTGTAACTATTTTTTAGTATTTGGGTAATAAAAGGATAAGGGAAATTGGGTAAAAAAAAAAAAAAACCAACAGCATAAAAGATACTGCCTGCCCACCATACAGTTCCACTGCATAGCCATCACACTCCAATGCCACTGAAAGCTAAAGAGAAATGAGTGGGCTCTGCCATGGTCATGATTGTGTGAGAGCTGCCCATTGTCTGGGTAATCAATGACGCCTCAGACCACAAGAACTGATAGGAGAGGCAGTCACATCTGACAAATGCTGGTAAAGCTACTTTTCAAAATTAGCAATCCTTAACCATTTATAATAAAAACGTACAAAGATAGTCTTGCCAACAAAAGTCTCCATTATTTTTCTTCATAACAGGGAAAAATAAAGAAATATAAACTTGTACTGACCTATTTTTAAGGCTTTTTGAAAGTTTTTCAGCTTCTTCAACCGCCTTTACTATAGTACTAGGACCAATCAGGGCTTTGAAGTAATCCTGACACAACGGAACACATGTATGGATGGTGGGCCTGAACACATCTATGACAACTAAGACTTACAGCGGGGGATGTGGGGGGGGTATCTGAATTTGACAGGTACCCGCACCTACTTTCGCTGCGACCCACTTAGAAAATTGGAACCGGAAGTTGTCCTCCCCTCCTCCCGGTCTTCTCGGACACAGGACTATTCACAAAGTGCAGTGCTACAGGCGCATGTGCAGTGGGCACCCAACTGTGAAGCCGCGAGCTGTCACAGCCAGGTACCCACACTAAAGATGCCGGCGCTGGGGACACAGGACAGCTGGTGAACCCAACCGGTGTGAGGACACCACGGTATCAAGGGACAGGTGAGTATCTGTTTTCTAAACGTGAGCAGCTACAGTTTTTGTAGGTGCTGACTTTATTTTTGACTGGACCTCCACTTTAAGATATTTACATGTGACCAAACACAGTCAGTCTCACAAAAATTGAAGCACTGCCTTCAACAACGGGCCCCAGTAGGGCTACCCTAGGGGGGTGATCATATCTGCTTCCAGCTGAACTGTCCATGAACTGTCAACTTCATGGAAAAATCAACTGGTCACTACACAACACTAGGTGAAGATCATGGATCATGGAAGGTCCTGGTGGGGCTGAGGACATTTAGATATCTCTCCCCCATTCTTCTCAGTGAGACTGAACTATGAGTGTATGACAACTCTAATATTTCATTTGTAACAGCTCAGTGCATTATACAGTTACAATCAACTTACCCATTTCACTAGCTAAGGCCAATTTCACAGTCAACAGATCTTACCGTATAGCAGTGGATTGCTGTTCAGGGGCACTTTTCAGGTGTTAAGGAGGCAAAACTGCTGCATCCCAAATGCTTTTATCCCCCATTTTTCTCCCTAGTTGAATGGGAATTTTGCATTGAAATACCACAATGTAACCGGTTGTGGTGCAGACCCATTGACTTCAATGTGCTAGTTTAACAAACATCTCCGCTTGTCAGACAGTATTCTGAATTTAAATTGCTATACTGCAAAGCATCAGTAGTCATGTGTACTTACCCGAGCAGCAGCTATGTTCATTTGAAGGTGAGCAGTGAAAACATAAAATCAATTGCCTATTTTCTCTCCCCTCTGCTGCCTGTGTGAACCTAGCTTATGCTTGAGATATATATATATATATATATATATATATATATATATATATATATATATATATATAGTGGTTTTGAAGCAACAAACAACAAATAGAATCTGCGAATCTGCATATCCATGTCGGTCATCAGTAACAAACTAGTAATTCCTTTGCAATATACTTACAGAAGGAACTTAAAGAAACCCTGTGACCAACTTATTCAATTTATTCACTTGCAATGTGCCTTTGAACGTATTAGAAAAATGGCTAGTCCGTTCCCTAGTACAATCCCCTCTTTCCTTGCACATCATAGCCCTCTCCTCCTCAGGGAGGGTCCACTTGCTGTCTGTGCTGGTCCAGCTTCTCTGTCCCTGCCCTCACATCCCTACAGAACCTTAAATGTAGCTGCTAAGGGAGGAGTGAAGGGGAATATTACAGAGTGTCCCTTGAGGGACCACTCCAAGTCTGCACCACATTCAAGATGGTGGAACCTAGCAAGAGTCTCAGGGCTGTGAATAGCTACACAAGAGGCTTTTACAGGTAAAACACATGCAGAGAATATGTTAAAGTGCATATAATCTTATGGGAACTATTTTGTTGAAATTAAAAGGATAAGTTCAATTGATGTGAATGTAACTGAGCACCTTCTCTTACTACCCCAAGAATGATATATTATGATCGTAAATATAATTATGGATGGGTATGAACTAACCCTCTAAAATATACACAACCACTTAAAGATAAAAATAAAGAACTAAAAAACAGTGTTACTAAAACACCCATGCGTTTGCCAATGACTAATTACACAATTATTAAACATGCTAGCTGCCCCTTAAAGTGCAAAATCACTTTTAAATTAAATATCTAAATAAAGGGCCAGCACTTCACATACATATAAAAATGATGCCTGCAATCCAACAAGGAAAAATAATATATATCAAATTATGTTTATGAATAGTTCATAAATAATCAAGAGTTCCACACCAAATTGTGTGCCAAAAATATATTCTTCTAGTGCTTATTATATATCTTCATGTGAATCCTCCTTGTGCTCCACCATCATGTGCCAAAATATTCCACTCACCAACCATCCATGACCCCTTACTTAAAAGAAGGTCAATTACGCTTTGTGTTAACAGGGATTATTATAATCTCAGTAAGTTTCTTCTATATATTCTCCCTTTTGGTTCCACAATTTTGAAGCCCCATAAATCAGAAAAGAAAAATTCTCATGGTGTAGTAAAATGTGTTAAAAATGAGTTTCCATGTAAACATGTAGGGTGCACTCACATTTGTTGGTGCCCAATCCTCGGCATTAACACACTTTAATGCGCCGTCACCGCTCCTCACCCTGGAGTCGGCCTTCCTGAGGACGCCAGATTGGTGAAACACATAAGGCCGAGTGTTACGTCCAGCCACATCTGGGTCCATTGATCTCACTTCTGTTTCTGGCCATTGGAACATTTGTTGGTGCCCAATCCTCGGCATTAATACACTTTACTGCGCCGTCACCGCTCCTCACCCTGGAGTCGGCCTTCCTGAGGACGCCAGATTGGTGAAACACATAAGGCCGAGTGTTACGCCCAGCAACATCTGGGTCCATTGATGTCACTTCTGTTTCTGGCCATTGGAAAGCACGCCAACTCCAGGGTGAAGAGTGATAAGTTCACCCTTCCACAAAAAATAATAAATGCACATTTTTTTTGCAGGTAGAAAAATGTGCATTCTTTTTTCCATTAGAAGCCTGTACAGCAGATTGTTGATGACATGCAGGTGTCCTGCACACTGTCAGTGTATTTGCTTGCTCGTACATCCTATATGGACAAGCCGATACTTGCAGACAGGAAGAATCAATGAACTAACAGCACTGTGGTAGTTGATTGACTACATGCTGACAGCCGCTAAGGCTGTTGGGACTTGTAGTTCATTAATTCACAGAACACTGTGAATGAATGACGTGACCGCATGGACGGAGCCCCACACAGCCATGCTGAAATCTGACAGCTAGCACAGGGAACTTCTCCCCGTACTTCTGTCGCAGGGAGGGGGGGCAGCAGGCGGCGGCTGCAGGATCAGGAACATGTTACATGTTCCACCCTAAAAAGGGGTGGAACATGTAACATGCTCCCAGAATGAACTTATCCTTTATTAGTCTGGTGATGGTCACAGGGTCTCTATAAAAATTAGAAAGGACAGTATTTTAGCCACAAAAGTATGTCTATGGACAACAGTAAGAATGCAATCAGCTGTTACATCTATGCCCATAGCTACAAAATAAGACTTGTTGCTGTAAGTTGAAGTTCCACTGACTTCTGCTTCTATGCAGCTGTTGGAACATTATTCAAAAATGATATTTTTTTACTGTATGGAAGAACAAAATGAGGAAATCTATCAGTGAGATTAGTCTTATTGCAGATGCAAACACAGATTGCTGATGCTAAAACCTCAAAATTCTTTTGATTTATGACTCAATGCACAAAATATTTAGGAAGACCTCATAACAAATGACTAATAAACAGCTTTTCTGATACTGTTATTCATTGGAATATTATTTCTATATAGATATACATGACATATAAGACACTCATTCTGTTTTTGCTAAAAGCGCAGGGGGGGGGGGGGGGGGGGTACACAAAAGTCACAGAAGAGTGATAACTTAGTGAATTAATTCATCATGTGCAAGAATTTTAAAGTAGTTCTAGAAATCAATCGAGTTATGTAATGTTGATTCTTGATTGGTAGTTGACAGCGCAGTCACACCCAAACATTAAAGGACTGTGTTTTGAGAATAGTCTATAGCTAGCTTAATGCTTTTCTGGTATCAGCCAATATTCTCTTCTCAGCTACAAAATTACACACCACCCAGCAATACCCTAAAACCCAACAGGTTATTTAATGTTAAAAATAAAAAATTAACATTAATATCTTTTGTGTAAAAAAAAAAAAAAAAACAACAAAAATGAGCACTGTACCTGGTTTTGTTTGAAATCCGACCTCTTTTTAATTAGTTCAAATACAAATAAAAATTTCATGTAGAAAACGTAAGCTTTCTCCTCGTCTCCATCTAGCCGGCACTCTTCTGCTTTCTGGATTATCTTAGAAGCACTGTTAACATAGCTAAAAATAAAAAAATATTACATACAATTAAATATATAAAAATATATATTATACTGTACATATTAACCAATACACGCCCGGCCAATAGCCAAAAGGCGGCCGGCAAAATGTATTGGATTTCCGGGTTGGATGCCAAATGGCGTCCTCCCGCACATGCGCACTTTTCGTGCTTGCAGAGCCGCGATCTGTCACCGGCCGTGTACCTCGAACACGGCCGATGACAGATCTGAGTATCGGCCCCATTGCCGGTACCATGTGACCTGCTGTGTCCAATCACAGCAGGTCACATGACAGTTGTATACAATGGATGGCTTCATTCATGCTGGATTTTTTTTTTTTACACCTGTGGCCATGGAAGGGATTGGAACACCTGAATGATTTGGAGGGCTGGCAATATGATGTATGTGTATGTTGTTGTTTGTACTCATAGTAAGGCCCAGAAACAATGGTATGCATTCTGTTTTTCTTCTATCCTATCTAAAACACACTGACACTGATACTAAAGTGTTACTAAATCCAGGACCCTGCATTCACTATATCTGGTCTTCCACAGTACACACTACAATGCAACTCTTTTAGTAAATATAAACTGCTGAATAACCTTTCTCCTCAGCAGTAAATAGCAGGCTTGTGACTTCTATCAGAATCTGGTTGAGCATTGGTGAAAGCTTATTAGGAGGAGTTTTCATTCTGCTCTGTCGTATGAGGCTTGCTTGACCCCTGACGATCTGTCTGGACAGTGCTGATTGGACCTGTGCCGATCAAATGCACCCCCTAAAAGAAAAAAAAAAACTCACTAGCAATACACACTAAACGGAGCATGTGCAGAGTGACTCCTAGGGCTTTATACTATCAGCAGATGGATTGGAGACAGTAGAAAAAAGGTAGGATCAGAGAAGACAGACTCAAACAGCTTTTTTACACAATGTGAAGGATTAACTCCTTAGGTTCCACAGTGAGTATAACAAGCATGCTTTACTGCATATACAGACTGATTTTACTGTTGTGGGTTGAGTAATTTAAACTTTGATCTAGCTATTTTTCTTTATTATTTCTTTTTTTTTTTTTTTGCACACTTTTGTTTGTTTACATCTTTCTCCCCAACAAGGAGAAAAAGATGCAATGGAGTTGATTTACTAAAACTGGAGAGTACAGCTCTGCATAGAAACCAATCAGCTTCCATGTTTTTTTTTGTCATAACTTATCTGAACAAGCTGAAGTTAAACTGGGTGGGCAGAGGTGCAACAAGTAGGACTACAAGTGATGGGACATGGAGGAATGGACACTAAGATGGATGGCAAAGCCCAGGCCTGTAGAAGGAGCCGGAGAGCTCTGAGCACATAGCTTGCCTGCACAAGCACTGGTCCTCGTCCAGAGACGTCACTTCCACCCGCAGATGTGTTCCACACTGGTTCTTCCACTTCCGGTCGGCATTTCCATGCTGGGACTGGGGTGACGGCGTTCCTCACCATCCGTGGAAGCGGGACTCCTTCCCTGGACTTTGGGCTGCACTGTACCTGTGCATCACTGATGACAAGTGATCACCGTTCTATTCTCTTGTGAATGTAACTTACCTTTGCTGTACTAAACCAAATACTAATTACTACACTCAGTGGTGCCTCCCTTATTTACCTACAAGCTGATTGGCTACCATGCACAGATGCATCAGACTCTGCGTGCTCCAGTTTTGGTAAATCAACCCTAATGTATCTTTCTCTCCATTCAGAAGAGAAAGAAAATACATGGGCAGGCGGCGGAGTGACTGATCACTGTGATAGCCAATCAGAGGTTAACACGGCAATCAGGTGACTGGGGGACCAAGAATCCCAGGTCCTAATCAATGGTGAGAGCCCAGTCTCTGTGCTGGGAGCGTGCTGGCCAGATAAAGGCCCACTTCCCTGAGGCCGCATATATGCCTACAGTCAGCAGAAAGGGGTTAAGCATATAGGCTAACTAAAGCCCCCCCCCCCCCCCCCCCATTTTTTTTTTATTTGGATATAGTGGGGAAGAGTTAAAATTCCTGTTATGGTTTTGCTTCTGCCTGTGACCCCATTGGGAAGTTTTCCATTGCAAGAAAAGGTGGGTGTAGCTGTCACAGGGGCAGGAAGGTACAAACAACAAACACCATCATCAGAAGCTCTAACCCTTCCCCTGCACTAAACATGTGTGTTGTGTGTGCTTACATTCTATAGAATTCCCATCACTTCCTGTCCTACAAGACTTGGAACCATACATGTCATTTGTGTACCTTCGCTTTTATACTCCCCAATGCTCAGTCAATCTGCTAAAATGTGTAAACTAAGAAGCAGCATTTTAGCATGGTGGCTTTAACCCCTTCACACCTAAGGGTAAAACAAATCTAAATGCCTAAGCACAAATTTGCAACGTTGACGTGTTAGTAAAACCAGACATATCATCACTACTTTGTACATCCAGGTGAATTATACCGCGTTTTTTGCAGGACAAATTGGGCTTTCATTTGGTGGTAACTGGTAATGGATATCTCCTAATTTTATTTTTATTATCAAAGGAAAACTGGCCCAAAATATTTAAAAAAACATAAATAAATTTTTTTAAATTTAGCTGTGTGTTTCTTGTTACTACCATAACCTACCAACAAAGAACAACCCAAAATAAATTTTCCAGCTCGACGATCGCAGCGATACCATATATGTGTATGTTATTTGTTGTTTGTACCCGCAATACAGCCCAGATTTTGTTTTTTTTGTTTTTTTTACCCAAAACACACTGACAATGCTTTTTTTTTTTTTTTTTAAATCCTTTGACCCTGTGTTTCTGCCCGTGACCTTTGACTCTGACACTGACTTACCCTGGCATTGAACTAGATCAAACCTTGAACTAGGCATTTTTTCTTTATTTTTTAATATTTAATTTATCTTTTTTTTTTTTTTTTTTTTAACAAACATTTTTTCCCCTCTATGCGAGGAGTTAGAGAGATACAATGTATCTCTCTCCTCCATTCATAGAGAGAAAAAAAAACACAAGGGGGGCGGGCTGTACAGTGACTGATCACTGTGATAGCCAATCAGAGGCTATCACAGCAATCATGTGACCCAGAATCAGGAGTCCCGATCGTTAGAAGGGCACCTGGGGCTCTCAGTGACACCGCAGTATTTGTGCTGGGAGCCCGTTGTGCAGCGCGCTCCCAGCAGGAAGACAGGTACACAAATATGCGGCCCCACGGAAAAAAGCCCAGTTCTGTGAGGCCACATATTTGTGTGACGTCGGCATCAAGGGGTTAAAGGTGATCGTCAGGCAAAACAAATATTATTTGATTGAAAGAGACATTTGTACACTTACTTAAATCTTACGGGATTATTTCCAAAACATTTGATGCAGAAATGTCAGAAGTCTTTGTGCAAGCTGAACAAAATATTGCCTTAATGTTTGCTCCTAGTGCAGGGCATCAATTTCTGAAAAACCTCATTGAGGCAACTTTACCACATTTTGCACTTGCATGTTTATGCAGTTTTCTTGATTTGAGTCCAATTGTTGGACATATCACTTATTAGTCCCCATTTGGACTAGTTTATATATATTTTATATTCACCATTACTTCAGATCCCACTCAGGATTTATCCACTTTTGTACCATACTTTTTAGTATTGGTTCACATATCTCTGCTATTACCATCATTGTGGTGGTTTAGTATCTACTTTGTTCACTTCTGGATCCGTTGAGGAACAGGGCATGGTTAGATATCTGGAGATCCCAGGAGGATCAGGTCACATTTACATTCTTTGCACGTTGTGTCACTTTATATATTGCTTTTACATTTATTTATATTACGTATATATTAGGTTATATTGTGTGATTTGTAGCTTTGGAGTAGCGCTGCATCATTTACTTTTTTATCCTTTTTCTTAACCACATTTTGGCCACTCAGCGCGTCTCGGAAGCGAACAGCAATCCCTGTAGTAGTGGTGCCTACTGCAATGATTTCCAACTTCTAGAGGAATCCCAAGTTCAGTAAGCCTAATTTCACTTTTTTTTTTTTTTTACCTTCAAGACCCCTGGATCACCTAAAATCACTCTTCTAGAAAACTCATGCAGCACCACGAAATTATAGAGAACTGCAGAATTACAGAACAGCCAACTCAAAATAACCACCCCACAGGAAATCTGTTCTTTTTTTTTTTTTAAAGAGATTTTTATTAGGTTTTATCTTATACACACATGAACCAACGATAAAAAGTTATACAGTATACATAGCGTAGCAACATGTCAAAGCAGGTAACAAAATCCAGAAATACCAATTGTTCTCATAAAGAATATACAAAAGCCCCAAGAGAGACAAAGAGAAAAACAGAGATGTGTAGGAATAAAAGATTTACTTATAGAAATAGGAGACATCGCACGAAGTGTCGAAGTGCAAGGGCTTAGGAGTAATGTATCCAGGGTTTTGAGAAGATACGAGTCAAAACATGCGTAGGTATCAGTCTAGAGTGATAAGCAGATATATTCCATGTTAGCCAATAGTCAAATGACCAGGAGGAGGGTCAACGTGCATATGGATAGGAAGTGGGAGCAAAATAAGAAAACATAGAATAGAGGTTAGACCGTAGGGAAAGAAGGAGAAAGAAAATTGAGAAGACAAGTCTAGAAAGGAATAGACCATCAGGAAAGACAGAAAAAAAAAAAAAAAAAAAGAGAAAGAGAAAGGAGGGAGAAGTAGAGGACGAAGGAATGTATTGCCTAAGTTCAGAGGCCAGATGACCGGAAGAAACATGTCAGTAACAAGAAACAGCTCGACAGTGTGTGGGGGTGTAGATGGGCTAGTATGGGGACATTTCACTAAGAGGCAACAATGAGGCGAGGTTGTGGGAGAAAGAGAAAATAAGAAAACTGAAAGTTGAATCCAAAGTGGAAGGAGGGTAGATTGTCAAAATAGCGAGGTGAAGTATAGGTCCAAGAAGGCCCAGAAAGTGTAATGTAAACAGTCAGATTACCCCTAATACGAGCAATACAGTATGCATCAG